ATGTAGTGCCATCGATTAGCTTGTTTAATTATCTTTCTGATGATGTGTGATACGCCTAATATGACTAAAAGTTACATTTGTACTGAGGGCAAAACCTAAAACATTTTAGCACATCTATTGACTTGCTATAAAACATATTCTTGCAATCCTTCAAATTATCTGTTCATTATAAGATGATTTATTAACTGTAAGTGATGACAAACAGAACCTCATTCAATATACTATACCATATGCATTTCTATGGTCTATGTATAATAAAATTATCGCATGGTATCGCGAAGATAAATGCTTACACGCATACCTATTGAGACTGGCCGAGAAAAGCGCCGTACGCCATATTGCCCGTAGACGTTGTCACGTTTATGCTTATATTTATACAGTCAGGAGTGAACATAAACTTTATACAACGTTTGCTATCAGTAGCATATAAACCCCCGTATATTGTGTTATATAGAGGGTTTGATAATCTTGACAGTATGCAGAGTGAATAAAACAGTTACACGAAAGTTATGTTATTATTCGTATGGATGTATAATGGGTTTATTCCCGGTTGGACTACTCCCATTTCGCCTACAGCAAAATTCCCATTTCGCCTACAGCAAAATTCCCAGGTGGCCTACACCCATTTCGCCTAGCTACTCCCAATTCGTCTACGATCGGTTTGTTCACTAAATAATCATTTATAAATAAGAAAATATGGTTTTGATGGGCATACATACATACATATGATAGACTACAGCTAGGGACCAAAAGAAAAATAGGTACAAATAATGAGAACACAACTTGACTAAAATAGTTCTGAAAGTAGACGAAATGGGAGTAGGCGAAATGGGAATATTGCCGATTCTGAGAGTAGACGAAATGGGACGTAGGCTAAATGGGTGTAGGAGAAATGGTAGTAGGCCAACTGGAATGTTACCGTATAATGTATAGTGTAATAGGTACATATAAATATACCGAGAACCCATAGAATGCCATAGCTATTGTAGAGAAGTGATATGTTTATAATATCAAGAGTACATAATAGAGATCTCTATTATGTACTCTTGATAATATCAGGAGTTAATAAAGACAAATTTGTCTTTATTAACTCCTGATAATATCCATACACTGATTATAAAGTTCCGTGATCTACCACTGCTACATAAATTATAGCAGGATTATAGCTAGATACAATAACGTAACCCAACAAGAGTAGGGGTTAGGGTTATTATACATCTCGGAATGCCCGTCGATAACTTCTAACCAATCGGTCTTTTCAGGGCCGTTACTTTTTCCAAGAAATAATTTCCTACTCTTGCTGGGTTACATTATTGTATCTAGATTATCGCGTACTTAGCTAACAAAAAAAATCGTATCTCTTCCGCAGTACACTATATAAATAACATATACCTATAAGCCACATATAAATAACAGTATAAATTTTTATATAGGCCTATAAATATATATATATATATATATATATATAATATATATATTGTTTGGCGGAATGCACATGAATTTGTAAAATAGTTTTTGTCTGTGTGCAAATGCTTGGTGTTTTCATTTTTATATTGACCCCGTGAAGACACCATGTTATTGCGCAAGGCAAGGCCAATAGATAACCTCGGATACATAAACATAGATAGATGTTTATCTTTAGGCCTTGACGCAAGGTAGGTGCGCATGCGGTATTTATGAGAAAGTTTGACACGGCCACGGCCACGGCACACGTGAAACGCCATGTAAATCCGAGGCGGGGTCGTTTTGTGAGCAGGGATTTCAACGTGTCGGGGAATGGATCAGGAACGCTATTTCAAGCCAGGGGCGTGTACAGGGAGGGGGTGGGGGGTCCAGGGGGCCGGACCCCCTTTGCTCGCGCAGAAAACGCATCTGAGGGGGCAGAATTGTCTGGGGGAGGGCCCCCCAGACCGCCCCTTCGCGTGCTCGCAAGTTTGGGTTACGATTTCCCCACCTGGTACAAATCCTTTACACGCTCCTGCAAGCCCGTTTCCACTCCGAACTAAACAATGAAGTTTCACTATCCCTACATAACAGAAACACTAGGTTAAGTAGTGCAGGAATAAACTGCGCCGCTTACAACTCTCCTATATGTGCATAGCCAGTTTTTCAACTAAGATTACAGCGGAAGCAATACACACACGTGCGCGAAATTTTGTATGTTGCTTCTCCTATTCAGGGGTGGTTTCACGTGGTTTTCCTCCTGGCAGTGGCTTATACGAAGCATCCGTATATGGCTGGGTGTGTGGTTTGTATGAGGAGGGGAACTGCAGTGTTGAACGTAAGACATTTCGCCGTGCCATAACGGATCGATAGAATTATATCCGATCACGGCGTGAAGATTTTGCACTTGTCACACATATTAAGCTTCTTACTATCGTTCACTTCTATCACTCATGCACTCGTCCAACAGTGGATTATAAGCTAAAAACGTGCTATTAATCAAGTGCATTTAATTGGTCTATGCTTGCTCCAACTAATTCCTGTTAATAGATAAAATTGCAGAATTTCGGTGTAGCTATTCAGTTAATTGGAACTTGGTTGCGTCTCTCACAGGCGCGTACGAAATTATGATTCAAATCTCATCAGTATTTTACAGATTTATTAATAATAATTATGAAATAAAACATGAAGCATTTCAATTATTTAATAGTGCGAATCGTCGAATGTATGTGTATATGCGTACAAACGTGTGTAGATCTATAGACGTGTTGCCATCAACACATTCTCCTTGCTAATTAATGACCGCTATTATGCTACAGTATGTGTATATGCACGATGTGGGCATCCACACACACACACATGCGTGCACGGAGCTAGGTGATCAATCAGGCAGGTGAGGTCGGCAGACTGTTCCGCGCTCCTTATATTTCCTCGCAACCCCAGCAGCAGCACTACCACCGATCTTAATTGTCTTATTGACAGGGTTCACGGAATGCCGGACACTAAGCGCGTAGAACAGGCGAGGGCGCTCCCGCTACTACAGCGCAACACCGTGTCTAATTTTTAAAACCATAAACCATTACTCTACCATGCATGGTCTGTGTATGTTCAAGGTAATAACGCGCCTTTTGTTTGGCTGATCCTATCCCATTGCGCATGGGGAGCAGTCACACCGGCCGCACCCACCCCCGCGGAGCTAGCGAGGGTTTTCACGTAGACACACCACGGTGTAGGCGTAGCCGCGTAGTACACTTGCTTACACAGCGATAAGTATGTTCAATCGAAACTACTGTCTACTAAGCTGTTCCAACTTCCCACATTTCGGCCGGCGTCCTCTCTATATTCTTATTAAGAGCTAATAATACTAAGAGCTAATAATACAATAATATAGGTATTATTCACTCTTGTTCTTATTTATACCGAGTCTCTATGTACGGCCTCTGCGTTGTTTCTGCGCCTGACGTGGGTGTTTAAGAGCAGTATCGTGTTTGCGCGTAACTAAATAACATATACATCTGATATACATAATAACATAATAACGAGACAATGTCATGTTGACTTGTTTAGGATTGTTATTGTTGATGTCGAAGCCAGTGGATAGCACGAGTAAGACTACAAGCGTGCCGTAGTAATAACATTAGAATATACAATTGTATACTAATGTATAGGAGATAACATAACATAACAACCTAGGGGATTATTTACAAATCCGTCATGATAATCTGTCATTATGTTATTTTAATTATCATTTATGTTATATTATAATTCATGTTCTGTCATTATTCACCCCCTGATAATAACAAAATCTACCTGCAAAAAGAATGTAGAGAATAGCTACAAGAAACTATGTATGTATACAATGCGCTACAACAGGCATAAGCAACCATATATATATATATATATATATATCAAGAGTACATAATAGAGATGTACTATGTACTATATGTACTATGTAGGGGCCTATTATGTACTATGTACTCTATTATGTACTCTTGATATATATTCATTTATTTATGTACGGCTACACTAACAGGCGTTTAGTTTCATAGCGTCGTCGTGTTAATTAATGAAAGTGTTAATTACGTAAATACCGACTGGCGCAATATGGTAGTTCCCTATCCCTGTATCGGCCCGCTGTGACATAGCAATTCACTTGCAAAAACCAGTGCAAATTTATTAAAATTTTTAAACCTTCTTATGCCTCTATTCGTATTTCCGTTTCCTTGTCCATCAATCTATATCAAGAGTACATAATATAGATTTTCTATTATGTTCTATAGAATTCTCTATTATGTACTCTTGATCTATATGCATCGCTTTCCTGCTATATGCTGCGGGCAGCGCTGCATATTGCTTGCCAACATACAGGCAATATGGCGGCCATTTTAAATGTGTGATCGGTCTGATGCGATGTAAAACTATAATAGGAATATGGCATTGCTAAGAAAGACCGAGCGATGTTTATCTGTCATCTATGTAAGCTATGATCTCATATAATTTACTTGAGATGAATTCAAATCTGTTCATCAAAGAAATACGGGCGAATTGTCGATGCAAACACTAATGCCTGATCTAAATGTCGTCTACATTTGTTTTTCAATGTTTTGAATAAATTGGGTTTTCTATGTAAAAATGCAGAACTTTTAGGATTTATTTAAGATTATTAGAACTGCGGTGAAATATGCTAAACATATATCGTTAATTTAAGCTATGGTAATTGCATAGTTTTATGCAATTTAAGTTTGAATATGAAGATTGTATATTTTTTACAGATTTAAAATGTTTACAATGTTATAACTTTATAGCGCGTGCGGTTTCGGCCTTAATTCGTATACCTGCTCAAATAAAGGTTAATTGGCAGTGTATGGACAAAATCGTAGCCATAGTATTCACGTTGTTGCTATTAAAATAGACGCAAGAAAAATTATTAGAACGACAATTCCGTCGAAAATCTGCCGCCGTTCTGCTTGGAGTGGCACCGAGAGCGGAGTGCTCTCCATCACGTCCGCGCATTGGCCTTATATCCGGAACCAGACGCGCTCTATTCAACTACATGCTCGAGTTACCTACAGTTCAACAGTTGTAGACTATTCGTGTTGCATCGCTCCTGCTCTACACAAACTCCGACATGGCAGATGCTGCAGCAGTAGCCGCTCCGGCACCCGTTTCACCGAAGAAGAAGACCAAGGCGCCGGCAGCGAAGAAACCAAAAGCGCCGGCACAACATCCACCTACGGCCGAGATGGCAGATGCTGCAGCAGTAGCCGCCCCGGCACCCGCTTCACCGAAGCAGAAGACCAAGGCGCCGGCAGCGAAGAAACCGAAAGCGCCGGTACAACATCCACCTACGGCCGAGATGGTGAATGCGGCCATCAAGAATCTAGCGGAGAGGGGCGGATCCTCCCTGCAAGCCATCAAGAAGTACATCGCTAGTCACTACAAGGTGGACGTGGAGAAGATGTCTCCCTTCATCCGTCGCTACTTGAAGTCTAGTGCGGCCAATGGTAAGCTGATACAGACAAAAGGCAAGGGTGCCTCTGGTTCGTTCAAGCTCAGCACAGGAGAGAAGAAAGCAACGACCGAAAAGAAACCAACGGCAAAGGCCGTGAAGAAACCGGCAGCGAAGCAAGCAGGGAAAGCTAAGCCCGCAGCTAAGAAGGCGACCAAGTCACCAAAGAAACCAGCAGCAGCCAAGAAGGCCAAAGCTGCGAAATCACCGAAGAAGGCATCGCCGGCAAAGAAGGCAGCGCCGGCAAAGAAGGCAGTCAAGGCGAAGAAAGCACCAGCAAAGGCAACTAAGCCAAAGAAAGCGCCAGCGAAGGCAGCCAAAGCCAAGAAGCCCGCAAAGAAGTAAGAGGAATGTCCATCAATAACTTCTAACCAACCGGCCCTTTTCAGGGCCCCCCATTTCTTCCAAGAAATGATTTCTACTCTGCATTCACCGTTATTGCTCACATTCACTGTACTACTGCAACACAATATCAGGAGTGAATAATAGAGATTCTAATATAGAGATAAAATAATAGAGATTATTTACTCCTGACAATATAATACGCTTCAACTATAGTTTCGAATGAGGCGTATAGAAGGCAACATGCGTGTGCAAATGCATTTTATAGTTGAATATTAAAAACATCTGATCCGAAACGCATTTAAACAAATTAAACAAGCGCAGCAACTTACGTCAGCGACTACAATATCTATTCTACACTTTATCCACCGTGCTGTTTAGTCGGTGTTACCTACGGAAGCAACACCAGATTAACATTGGACGCGTATATGGCAGCCATTCAAAGAGCAACGTGTAATGTCACATGCACCCTTCAATAGTCGTTTGTGAAGCAGCTGTATTTTCATAGTTGAAAATGACAGAATCATAAACGCATTCGCTCATGAAGGCATACGCACACATACACGTAGGCACACAAATATATAAACTGACTCGTGTGGAATTAATATTACATTGAAACTAATATTGATCAGTAAACCTGCCATGTACTATGAATAAGGCCTAATTCCCATTAAAATATTTCACTGGTATTATCCCTAACGCTGGCCGCTGGCAAGAAATTAGTAAACGGGGGTCTGCTAAAGTAATGACTAATTTTCTCATGCCAAGCATGCACGAGAGAGCACTGTTTTAGTGTCAACTATGTAGCTGCTGGCTTAACCGTTTTTATTTTACTATACACAAAACTGCAATAACAACAACAACATTACACAGAAACTACATAACACATTAAATTGACAAAAAATCAATTCTTTAGGAGCTATTTATTCAAACAATGTTCCCACGTTAACGCATACGAACACACAAGTGCAAGCGCACACGCACGCGCACACAAACACACACACACACACACACACACACACACACAGTAGGAATAATATATTCATTACATATGTATTCTAGGCTCTTATCGATGTGCTAGCCCATTTTTTGGCATAATTGGGAAAACGAGCACGTTTTTTTGGCCACGCTTTTTACCAGAAGTAAGCACTGCATAGCATTAATCGGCATATTTTATATTTTTAGAGCACATTAAAGAGCCGGATGACTTTGTTTTATTTCGTAATATTGCTTTTTTTTCAAGCGTTGTGCAGCCTATTTTCAATTCCGCTAGTAAGTCCAGCCTATCAAGGCCCTTGTCAGGGGTGGATATATGTTTCATGCCCATCGAAGGCTGTCCAGGGCTAGGTAGGGGGAGCCGGCGTAGCCGTGCTTGGGGCGCACCGGAACGTACAGCTCACTGTGCAAGGGCGTCGGAACCTGCCGCGGCGACGCCGCGGCACTTTTTTCAGGCCATAAATTTTCCGTAACGCAAAAACTTTCAATAATTTATGACCGTCTTTTGGCCGTCCATATATCATTTATATACGTGTAATCTAGGCCCCTATAAGCGGAGACCAGGGTCAGATGAGGTCAGGTCACCTGTCGCAGCTATAACGATTTTATGATCAGAACTCTGGCACATCCATTATCTGCTCCCCGTTACTCCTGATTCCTATACAGCAGCATATGCCGTTGCGTTATATTCAGGAAGTAGACTAATACGGAGGAGATTATCTACTCCTGGTTATATTGAGGAGAGATGCTTTGCCGGGTCAGCGCGTTCATGATGAATATTAAGCAGTTCTCGTTGTGAGCACCAAGCTACAATTGTATGCATGTCTTGAATGGGAATGTATTTCAGGAAGTTTTACCAAAGATTATTCCACTGTTAAAGTGAAGAAAAATAAATTTGGAGTTTTTGTGTCATTATTGAATATTTTAATTTTTGTTAAGGCAACAAATCTTTCAAATCATCATGTATTTTTCTAAAATTACAGTGAAACACTTTTTTGTGCTAAATCACAATGCTCAGAATGCACCAGAGGCCCACCATTTGCCTTGTAGATTTCAAATTTCCACGGGGGGGGCATGCCCCAGACCCCCCTAGGGTGGCTTCGCCTCCCCAGGGGCTCCCCCTATCAACCAAAGCCGCGGCACTATTTTATTGCTTCCGACGCCTTTGGTCATGTGCTACCACAGTACGTCGCTGCTTCACAAGATGTGACTATTCCTTGCGAAGAGAAGAAAGTAGAATGGTGGAAGCTCCACGCAGAGCAACTTCCTAATTTGTCCTCCGCAGTTAACAGAGTGCTGCTGGTCCAACAATCTTCTGCTGCTACAGAGAGAGTTTTCTCTATACTCTCGGCTTCGTTCAATGACCAGCAAGATAATGCACTGGCAGATTACTTACAAGCAAGTGTAATGATGCAGGCCCGTACCCAGGATTGGCCTAAGCGGGGGCCAAATCAGATGTGTGCGGGTGACTGCAAGCGCTGAAGGCGCAAAGCGATGTTTGGGGGGTCCAGGGGCATGATCCACCGGGAAAACTTTGAAAATTTGCTTTAAAATGGTGCATTCTGGTGGATTTTAACCGTTTTCTTCTGGATAAAATATACCTAGCCTAACTATAAAATAGGCCAACTATAAAATATTTGTACCATATATTTATTCTTTGATGGGTGGGGGTGTGGTGGGGGTTTCGGACCCCCTGGAACCCCCCTTGGGTACGGGGCTGTACTGCAATACAAGCGCTAAGCTGATATTAGGGGAACGAAATCAAATGCGAATAAGCATGGTGCATTTTGAGGACACTGACCGAGTCATCAATATAGTTTTGTGTTGTGTTTAGAGCAGTCCAGACCAGTTCAGGAGAAAGAAGGGTTGATTTCAAAGCTAGAAACTTGCTTTCGTTAACAATAAAACATTTGATTTAGACTTTTCTTGTGTTTTTTATGAATAGCATAATCTATAAAAAACGAGCATAATTTTTAAAAACGAGCATAATTTGGACAAGAACGAGCACTGCTAGTAGCATAATGTGCTACTTTTACTAGCACAATCGATAAGAGCCTATGACCGACCCGCGTGTAATTATTTTAAAATGCACATCACTGATACATTGAAACAAAAGCATATTAAGAAGGTTACCTTCTTAAGAATGTTACTTTCTTAACCATAACCGTTACCTTCTTAATACGCTCTTGATTGAAACCGTTAATACATGGATCTGTAAATACCGCAATGTAGTGTGAATACAGCTTTCTTTATGAGAAAGTAATGCAGTGATGTAATGGTTTTAGCAGGTTCCTGCACAGAAAATAGTAAATGGGGGCTACGAACTAAATTTGCAATGCTAAGCATATACGCGAGAGCACCGTTTTAGTGCCGACTTGAGAAATTAAACTAACTAACTTACTACACAACAAATAAAATGAAACACATAAACACGCAACATGTTAAATTGAGAAAACCCTCATACGATCGAGCTGCGCACGCTAACAGCTCATGCACACACACACCCACACACACACACACACACACACACACACACACACCTACAC